CCAAAATAACCACAGTTTTTTCCCTCAGTGTCATTTGATCTATTTCTTGGGAAGATGGATGGATGGATGGAGATATATATATATATATATATATATATATCAATAATTATTTTTAATATAGCCTTTTTCAATACCAAACTTTCAATACCAAACAAAAATGAACTACAATAAAATTACTGGCACACTAAATTCCAATTCTCCTCAATGGGACTTGAACTCGCCAACTGATCTCCCTTACACGACACCAAACGAGGTGCTTTACTTGATTTGGGAGGGGGGAATAAAAGCAGTAAAACAATAAAACTTTGATCATTACAACACAAAGAGAAAATAAATAATGTTACAGCAATTGCGGAATGCCATCTGCGGGATTCGAACCCACCGCAACGACCAACCAGTAGGTGTCAAACCATGACTAATGAGTGCAAGCCTTGGCGCTCAGGGACACCCATCAGATTGTGAGGCCACAGCACATACGTTTTAGACTGGGTGGGATTCTTATACCCAACAGGAGTCTTCTGCCCGCCTTCTCATTAGAATATGCATAATTTGTGTTTCAGGCACTAGTTAACTAGTGAGCTGCTGCACTGCCACACATGTAAACTGGTGAAATTTCAATTGTTCCACTAGTTAACTAGTGGACAAAAATGGTCAGCTTGTATGTGTTTTTAGATGCAACTAGTTAACTAGTGAGCAAATCCGCACCTCACTAGTTAACTAATGAGGTGCAGATATGCTCACTAGTTAACTAGTGAGGTACTAGTGAGGTGCAGATATGCTCACTAGTTAACTAGTGAGCATATCTGCACCTCACTAGTTAACTAGTGAGCAAATCCGCACCTCACTAGTTAACTAGTGAGCAAATCCGCACCTCACTAGTTAACTAGTGAGCAAATCTGCACCTCACTAGTTAACTAGTGAGCAAATCCGCACCTCACTAGTTAACTAGTGAGCAAATCCGCACCTCACTAGTTAACTAGTGAGCATATCTGCGCCTCACTAGTTAACTAGTAAGCAAATCCGCACGTCACTAGTTAACTAGTGAGCATATCTGCGCCTCACTAGTTAACTAGTGAGCAAATCCGCACCCTACTAGTTAACTAGTTGGCGTTTTGGGGCCCACTAGTTAACTAGTGAGCATATCTGCACCTTACTAGTTAACTAGTGATGCTTTTTTGCACCTTACTAGTTAACTAGTGGGCGCTTAAGGGTGCACTAGTTAACTAGTGAGCAAATCTGCACCTCACTAGTTAACTAGTGAGCATATCCACACCTTACTAGTTAACTTGTGGGCATTTTGGGGCCCACTAGTGAACTAGTGACACTTATTTTGCACCTCACTAGTTAACTAGTGGACATTTGTACCCTCTCTAGTTAACTAGTGAGCAGTTCCGCCTTCACAAGTTTACATGTAAGTGTCACACTGAAGCCACTACTAGTTTACTAGCTGAGGTTCCTCTGGCCAGCATGTTAACTTGTGTGCCGCATGCAAATGTTTGGGGTGGGATTTTGCAAAATTCCGCACTGTGATTGGTTGTCATATTTTATTTTAACATAGTGAGCCAATAGAAAGCCTCAATTTGAGAAATTCTCTGCCTCCTAATTAGAATTCTGTGCAACTAGCTAGCTAGTGTGAATGTAGGCTTGAACTAGTTTACTAGTATACATTTATGTCCTCACTAGTTAACTAGTTTGGACAATTGATGCATCAACTAGGTAACTAGTGAGCCTGTTACAATCAACTAGCTAGCTAGTGAGTCATTAATGGTTCACTAGTTAACTAGTGGCACTGCCCTACTCCAACTACTTAACTAGTTAGGAGTTTTGCCTTCACCAGTGAACATGTGGACACTTTGAACTGTCACTAGTTAACTAGTGAGACACAAAAACCTTCAACTAGCTGACTGGTATGCATTTTAGCCCTTACTAGTTAACTAGTGAGCCATTTTTGTGTCACCTAGTTAACTAGGAAGCCAAAATGTGTTCACTAGTCAACTAGTGGGCATTTCTTCTGTCACTAGTTAACTGGTGTGCACATTTTGGCCATCACTAGTTAACTAGTGAGACACAAAAACCTTCAACTAGCTGACTGGTATGCATTTTGGCCTTTACTAGTTAACTAGTGAGCCATTTTGTGTCACCTAGTTAACTAGTGAAGCCAAAATGTGTTCACTAGTTAACTAGTGAACATTTCCGTCTCCCACTAGTTAACTGGTGGGCTCATTTTGACCCTGACTAGTTAACTAGTGAGACACAAATACCTTCAACTATCTGACTGGTATGCATTTTGGCCTTTACTAGTTAACTAATGAGCCATTTTTGTGTCAACTAGTTAACTAGTGAAGGTCAAAATGTGTTCACTAGTTAACTAGCGTGTACAGTTTGACCCTCACTAGTTAACTAGTTGACCTGTTGACAAGATATCAGAATTAATGCTCAAGCGGCTGGCCAAATTGGGCAAAGTTAACAAGTGGGATTTTTACATTCAGTAGTCAGCTAGTACGAGTTTTTGTACCTTACTAGTTGACTAGTAAAAACTAAATGTGTTTTAACTAGTTAACTGGTGGGCATTGATCTGTCCACTAGTTAACTAGTGAACACACTGAGCAATACTAGTTAACTAGTAAGATATAAAACATTTTAACTAGTTAACTAGAGAGAATTTAGGCCTTACTAGTTAACTAGTTGACATTTAGGCTGTCACTATTTAACTAGTTGACACAAACATGGCTAACTAGTTAACTAGTGGACAGAAATGGCTTACATGTTCATGACAATTCTGGCTGATATCCTGATATCAGAATAAATGCTCATTTGGCTTGCCATACATATACATATACATATACATATATATATATACATATACATATACATATATATATATATATATATACATATACATATACATATATATACATATACATATACATATATATATATATATACATATATATATATACATATATATATATATATATATATATATATATATATACATATACATATATATACATATACATATACATATATATATATATATACATATATATATATACATATATATATATATATATATATATATATATATATATATACATATACATATATATATATACATATACATATATATACATATATATATATATACATATACATATATATATACATATACATATATATATACATATACATATACATATACATATACATATATATATACATATACATATACATATACATATACATATATATATATATATATATATATATATATATATATATATATATATATATATATTAGGGGTGGGCCGTTATCGGCGTTAACGCGCTGCGGCAAAGCCAGACTCTTATCGCGCGATAAAAAAAAAGACGCCGTTAATCTATTCTCAAAGTTGGGTTCGGATCTGGGTCTATACTAAGTAAACTATGATGACTTTCACATTGCGCGGATGGATACCTGGTTGGCGCGGATGTGTACTCAGCGCGGATCATCGTACGTATGGATGGACGCCAGGCTCGCGGAGTTTAATGTTCCCCATGCAGCCGAATAGTCGCACCGTCGCCACCAGCAGCGCTTCTCCCATCTCATCGCGCGGGACAAGTAAAAAATTTATGTACTTTAACCAGAGTTTAATCCATAAATCCGACTTTCATTCTTTTTATTTTGTTTTGTTTACCTCCGACATTTCCAGCCGGGCTTTCCCCGGGCCACACTTCACCGTCCGCGGCCGAAGCAGCGCTCGGATGTGAGAAAACCGAGACAAGACTTTCTCAGACTGGTGCGGTTTCCAACTAAGTTTAGCTATTTTAGCAGCTGTTTATTGTGATAAAGTGTTTCTACAGGTCGTTGTTCATGTGGCTTCGACTCAAATTTACCTGTAATAATAAACGTTTTACTCATAAATTCTTATATTTATTTAGAAAAGTTGAGCTAGGATAACTCTCCTTGCCATTTTCAGAGGCAACAACAGCAACAGTTGGCTTCTGCTCATACAGGTGAGCTGTGGCATCATTTCCAGCTCTCGCTCCTATTCACCAGAGGCGATCCTACATGCAAACTAAATGGGGGCATTGGAAGGGCACCCCAGAAATTTAACCCCCCTCCCCAGGCCAGATAGTTTCTGTGTGTGTATGTATGTATGTCTGTATGTATGTATGTATGTATGTGTGTGTGTGTGTGTGTGTGTGTGTGTGTGTGTGTGAGTGTGTGTGCTTGTGTGTGTGTGTGTGTATATCTACTGTATATACTTTTTTCTTTAGCAGGCCATATTGTGTAGAAGAGAAGAACTAGTTTGTCACCAGACAATGTGAACAAGCTGGTCTGCTTGAGTGACTGGTGGAAGAAGGAGAAACAGAGCTTGGACTGATTGACCAAATGCTACTGACTGTAAATAGTTAATCATGACCTATTCTGTTGACCTACAGTGCAGAATTTGTTGAACTGAATAAACAGCTATTAAACACAAATACTTATTGATCATTATTTATTTTCATCATCAGTTATCGTAGTAAAACTGCTTTATCAGTCTGTGATGCATTACTGAAACAAGAAATACGCCTCCATTCTCAACGACTTGCTTTTATTCATTATCTAGGTAGCACACACATATGCCTTTGGCAGAATTTGAATGTGCCATTTTAATCTAGATTAATCTAGATTAATTCCAAGATTACAGTGAGATTAATCTAGATTTAAAAAATTAATCTATGCCCACCACTAATATATATCTATATATATATCTATATATATATATATATATATATATATATATATATATATATATATATATATATATATATATATATATATATAAAACACAGAACGCAGCACAAGTGCTCTGGAAAATGTGATATTCTGTCCACACTCCCTGACATGGTGAGGCTCTACTGGGGGACGTTGGGCCTTCTGGCTATTTTATACCAGTGGTAGCATCCCCGCTAACAGCAGAGAGCCTTTATGCTACAGTCATGTGAAGAATGTAACACATTTAATATTACAGACAAATGGGTGGATGTGGCTTTGTTGTTGCTGCCAGTGCTTCTCCAAACTGAACCATACAAGTTGAAGGAGAGCGTTCCGACCAAGCAGAGGTTCAGCAGGCCTTCACTGACTTCCAACCTGTAAGTTCTGTTATTTTTTTTTACTTCAGTTATCATTCACAGCCCACTCCAAATATGTTTCAACAGCTGTTTGTGAAATCATAACCTTTATGCCTAAATCTGTTCTTTTTTTCCTCTATCCCCCTCAACTTAGACTGGAACCAGTCTGGTGAAGAACCTGAATGGGACCACAGCGGAGCACCACATGTCCTTATGGCTGCAGAAGACCATCGATGTTCCCAAGAATTTTTGATCATCAATGGAACTGGAATACCCATCTGTTCTTAAACATTTTTTGTGTTGATGTCAACTATCCAAAACCACGTGCACAGATTTGGGGGTTTATTCAGACATTTATCTTTGCATCATGAATCAAATGCTGCAAAGCTTTGAGGGCTTATGTTGCTATGATGTAAGGTTGATGTTCTGCTGACTAGAGCATTAAGGTTGGGTGTTGATGGGCATTTACTTCACTACAGTTCTTCCATTAAAGTTGTTTAACATGTTTAAGACATCACAAATTACAAAATGTTTAATATTTGTCATAAAAAATGCAATTAGTAGTCATTTACAAAACAAGTTGGAATATGAATGCATGTTTAGAGAAAGTAGAAAATGCAACTTTATTTTTTATTTATGTATTTTGAAAACTAACATAATTTTTGTGATAAATAAAGAATTGACTGAGACATGTTCATTTTGTTTTATTGAATTATTAAATTTGTATTTTATTTATTGTATTGTATTTACTATAGAATTGGGTTATTTTAACCCAAGCTTTAGTAATTTAATAACCCAGAAGTTGGGTTTTATTTTTAACCCAGTTTTGGGTAGTCCTAACTGTACAGTTGGGTCATTTTAACCCATTGATTGGGTAGAAAGCATAACCCAATAAGCTGGGTCAAACTCATAACCCAACCCTGCTTGGTTACAATAACCCAGCATTGGGTCGGTCCCTTTTTGACCCAGCACCTGGGTTACAAAACAACCCAAATTGGGTTATTTTCAACCCAGCAGTTTCTTTTGCGTCCCTTAGTTGAAAAATATGAGAAAAGCCCCTTGAGAAAATATTCGTGAATTAAATCGTAATTGCAATATTGAAGAAAAAATATTTTCACAATTAGATTACTTTCCAGAATCGTTCAGCCCTAATCATTACTAATTTTGAAATAACCCACACAGCTTTTAGAAGTTGGTAAGAAAATAAAAATTTCATAGTGTAATCCGATCCAATCTTCACTAGATCATTATAAAATGTTCCACAATCAGCCTTCTATTTCCTCTGACATTATCCCCCATTTATCTCGTTCACAAACACAAATGCACACACGATGAGTTTTTTTTCCCATCCTTTTAGAGTTGGTAGAGAAAACAAAAGCAAACGGAGCAACGAAAACAATTAGTCCAATCAAGGGTGACAGAAGGCAATTAGAAGTAAAAGGTTTGAGGAGCCAAAAGCTGCTGTTATAGAGAAACGTGTCACTGGGGAGTGTGAGTAGATTGAAAATGCACAGTGTTTTTAAAAGTGTGTAAGGCCTAAAATCAGCAGCTCCATTGGAAGCTTTCAGTCGTCTCCAAAAGATAAAATCACAAGAACATAAGAAGTGCAAACGAGCAGCTATTGGCTACGCACACGACAAAACGGTTTAAATCACGACTCTAAATGCAGAATAAAGTCTTCACTCAAGGAGCAGCTGAATTAAAGCACATATTCTAACCTCTCTAGAAACAAGAGACAGGTGCAATCTTCTCACAAAATTGGATGTTTGTGTTTTTGATACACTCACTAGGCAAAAAGTGCTCATCTCCACAACTGTACTGTTTCAGGAAATTATTTAAAAAAAAGTATTTATTTTACAATGAATGAACTCCAAAAGCTAAAACAGACCTTTAAACAAAAATAAAATTACACATTTTTCTCAACCGTCTGTTCATTGAAATGTTAAGAGTAACACCATTACACCCAAAAACACTCGGCTCAGCATGCAACCACAGAGGATTTGACAAAAATATCCAATGATACATTTAGGAATAGAAAATTTATCATTTCAGGGACTAAAAAGTAATTACTTGCTTAATTTTGTAGAAAATCTTTTGCAGGTGACGACTGCGTGAAGCCTGGAGCGCATAAACCAGCAGGTTTCCTCCTGCTCTCACAGGCGTTTTACTGCAGCTGTTTTCATTTGTTTCCTTGTGGGTTTTCCTGCCTCAGGTTTGATCTAAAGGAAGTTCAATTGGCTCTTTACCGGGAGGAGATCTGATAATTGACTTGAAATTAAATTAAATAATTTTAGCCTAGAATTTTAGCAGTAGCAAAGGATTTAGCTCTGCAGGCCGATGTAACCCCGCTCCATTGTAGCCTCAGCAGGTATGCTATTGGCCTTGTTAAATTAGGCCCGGCCAATCACAGTGCTCTATGTTTGTACAGAGATGTTGAGTGGGCTTAGTGGCAGAGCTGCGATGTAGAAAAACTACAAATATGGTGTTGGTTCAGGAAGTGCGCTCGTTTGAAACCGCTTCAGCATCAATTTTGGACTCCTCCTCCTCCACTGACTTCCGTAGCGATGACTATGTTACATTGTTTGTTGCGCTGATTGGTCCTAGGGCTGTTCAACTGAGTGCGGAAACAGTTCGAAAGACAACAGTAGATTTCGTCCCATGACTGAGCTTGGTTGTGGCCAGAGCCCTGCTAGGCTGGAATATTTAACTTTCGTTGCAGGTTTTTTTTTTTGGGGGGGGGGGGGGGTCCATTCTTTCAGTGCAACTAAACCCCATGCCATCGCACTGCCTCCACCATGCTCTACAGGTGATGAGCTGTGCTCTGGATCACGAAGCATCTCCATAGTTTTTCTCCCACTCCTTTATGTACAAGTTAGTCTTTGTTTCAACTGTTCAAAGAAAAAGATTTTCAGAATTTAACTGATGGTGATTTTATAAGGCAATAATACATTCAGCATTTAAATTAAAGCTGCACTTTAGGATAATATTGCGTATATAACTGCAGCTTGAATATGTTTAGGTAAAAAACTAAAAGAAATAAACCGTGACACTGTCCAAATAGCTACGGGCTTAACTCTATCTTGCGATTCAAATCAGCAGTGCATGAATTTATAGCATGCAAAAAAACAGTCGATTTGTTTGCTAACAAAAACAGTAAAGTCTCTGCTGTAATCTTTAAATGTTACAGGATAAATAAAGGAAACAAACAAACAGAGAAACTCACTAATTCCTGGAAGCAACAGCCTAAACTCTGGTGTCTCTAATCTGAGTCTCACCTCAGGGATCCATAAGGCACAGCTAACGTGGACCCACTTGGTTCCACTGCGAGTGGGCTTCAGGGCCCCCCCTCTCTTGGGGCAGAGCAGACATTTTGGTTGGACGCCCAGAGCACAGGTCCGACACAACCAGTTCCCCTGCGGTACCTTCAGGATGCCGTAACAAGCCTGTGAGACAGAAAGGAAACACGGTCGCAGGGTTACCTGTTAGCTTTGAGGCGCACACACACACATAGTTTGGTGAAGGCAGGGAAACAAATGCATACATTACAGAATCTAAAATCCAGGTGGATTCTCAGTTTTAAATGCTAATTTCCTTTAACCGTTGAAACATCAGGCCAACAACGACACATAGTAAAAAGCACAGCTGCTCCAACTCTTACGTTGCCCTCTTCTTTGCAAAGTGAAAACCGCAGAAACATTCCAGACTAATTGGTACCTAAAAGGCACCATGTAGCTGCAATGTCAATGTTTCCATGTATGCATATGCTAGAAGCTGGCTTCGACTTGTAAAGATGTTTTTTTTTTCAGTTCCTGCCAAATGTATGAACTTAGCAAACATACAATTAGCTGCTGGCATCATCTCATACCAGAGGAATTTACAGCTTCTTTTGCTGCTTTTATAAAGTGGAAGGAAAGAAGCGAGAAGGGATAAAACAAAGATTTACAGGCTGGACGCAGCTATTACCAGCTCCACTACAAGGACACCACATCATATTGTTCATAAGCCTGTTTCTCACTTCCTCTCTCAGTCTTTGTTTTAGAACCGCATACATTTAGTGGTTTTCTTAAACTTAAAATAGATCTATAGCTCACATTCTATTTCTCTTGTTCCCTACTAGATACCAAGGGTAAATAACACTTCAAGATTAACTTTATGGACCAAAAAATTTTTGTATTGAGCAGGTGCGTACATAAGCTTCAGACCCTGAATATCTTGTTTACTTCCTTTTTGTTACATTGCAGCAATTGCAATGGCTATTTACATATATGATTTTAAAAGGCCCAATTGACTGTTTTGATTTGCTTTTAGCACCCCCTAGTGTCCGTTGAGTAGAACCAAAAGTGAAACTTATCTCCTCACTGTGCATTTGTCTTTTTAATGTCATAATCTGAAATGTCTCCTCAGCATTCACTAGTGTCTACAAGAGTGATTAATCTCTACATTAAACTAATCAGTTGTGTTCATCTAAAACATGCAGGAAATGTGCTGGAAGCGTCAGCTCAATATTTTTTTCATTGTGGCTCAAGAAAATGGTTACAAAATATGAAAAAGCTGCATAGTATCCCTTTAATACGTCTTCTAATGTGTTTGAAGGCTCGCATGCTGGGAAGAAAGTAAAAATCACATTTTTTTTTATAAAAGTTTAGATGATTATCTAAACCAGGTGTATTTACAATTAAAACAGACAATAGGGTATGAAAGATTAGAAGAAATATTAAATTTGCCAGATGGAGCTTTGGGCTCTGACTGTTTATTTCTACGTAACCGGAGAGATTAGATAAAAAACACAAGATGACATTTGTCAGGAAATTACCATCTATCGTGGCAACAGCAGGTAAGCAGAGGCAGTCTGATCACAGTGAGGGTGTGATGGCGCCCGCGGGGCTGACACAATAATTAACACCGTGTCACCATATAACAAACACCGCTAAACCAGACCTGGGGCTGTTTGGGAAAACGGCTGCTGTGTGACGGTATCTGAAGTCAGTCAGCTGTAAAAGGAGCTCATTTATGCACAACTCTGATTTTGAAATATGCATTCATGTTTTCAGCATCATTTCACTTGTTTTACTAAAAGCAACAACAAAACGATGTGTTTATAACATATGAACCTCCTGAGACCCGAATTTGTATTGGGTGTGATGTAAAATGAAATTAAATAAAAATATTAACAGGTTTTCTAGATAAAACTGAAAAGAGATGTTTTTACCTAAATTCTATATTAAATGTTTCTAAATAAAAAACAAGGTCTAATTTGAAGAGAATGAAGTCTTTTGTTGAAAGACGCCAATGGGGACACAGGGTCTCAGGAGCTTAAAGCTTGGTTTATGCTTGACGCATTCACTTTCCGCGCGGTGATGCGGCTCGCGGCTGGAACGCGCTTCACAGCTCGCAGCGTTTATGGTTTGTGCGGCTTGTCTCTGCGGTGAGCCAATATTCTCCCAAACTGAACGGGGCAGCATGGAGCTCTACAGCATGCACCCAACACTACACCATAGTAGAAGTAGAAATGACTGTTTACAACACGGCATTCCAGCATTTTTAACAGCGTTCTCGTCTTTTCCGACAGTGAGAGCTATTTCTCTCCAAGAACTATTAACAACATGTTGATCACGGTGATCTCTGAGAGCTGAATCATACAAATGTCTGTATTTACGAACCTCTGCCGTGCCGGTCCGCCATGTTTTTCCGCGTCCGACCGTCCGCGTGGTTAGAAATTTTCCGAGGTGCGCGTTGCGGAAATCTTGGGCCGTGCGGGGACGCGGTGGAGGGGCGTGGTTGTTAAAATGACGCAAAATGACGCAACTTTTCCGCACGGAGCCGTGCAGACCTCGCGGACGCGTCAAGCATAAACCAACCTTTAGTGTAATCACACCTGCAGGGGTGATTTAAGAGGTAAAAGCTAAAATATGAGTAAAGGGGTAATAATGTCTATAATAAAACATATAAACTCCACAAATAAGAATTAAAATAAGCAAAAATGCTAATCAGTTAATTAATCTAAAGGGGGCAATTTTAAAGATAAAATAAAATTAGTTATAATAATACATTTAAAGAGGGAAGTTATAAAAATAAGCATTTAAGTAAAGAAATTTATTAAAGGTGGAAAATATTTAGTACAAAATTAAAGGTAATGCAAACATGTGACAATAGTTTATAAGTTAATAAATCTAAAGGGAAAAATATTCTAAACAAATTTAAAATGTTCTATATTAACACGCATCAAAAGGGGGAACATGATAATATAATAATAAGGACATCTAAAGTAGAATAATGAGAAAAAAAGCTTAATGTTTAAATAAATTAATGAATTTAAAGAAGAGATATAAATCATTTAAAAATTTAAAAAGAAAAAACTTGAGGGAAAAAATGAAAATACATAAAAATGAAGTAAAAATTCAGCCCTAAGGCAGCAGTTAGAGATGAGCACTAGCTGTGCTTCTAAGCTAACTGTGGCGGCTAACCTGGTGAACGCAAACGTTGCATTTGTCACAGAAGACCATCTCGTTACCGTCCTCCCCCTCTGGTGAGCGGCACACGTCACACACCACGTCCTCGTCGTACTCGATGCCCAGGCCTTCCTCCGTCTCAATAGCCTGCTGCATCTTTTCTCCACACACACTCTCCAGCTCCACCAGAACACACTCCATCGTTAGCTCATCCACCTCAGGTAAGGCTGGCGGAGAGAAACACAGAGACAGCTAAACATTTCCATAACAGCCAAAATGTTCAGCCTTAATAGGCCAGGACCCGGCACTCGTTCTTTTGTTTTACTAACCGACTGAATTATTGCCATTTGTCAAAGAGTATGTCACCCCAAAATAAACTCCTTTTCTCTGTTGTTGATAAACTGCATAAATTATCTGGTGACCTAAATCATCTGGTGAATATTTCACTTTATTGAAAAGAGTCATTTTGATGTGTCTTGATAAGTACTCATTTACATCAGCCATAACAGAAGTTTGCACTACTCTGAAGTTTAAGTTAGTTAGAAATAAAGAAATATGTATTCTGTTAAAAGGTGTGGAACACTGAAAGACCATTTTAAGGATTATTTCTGATTATAATCAGCCACTGAGTTTTTCATGCAGGCTGACCATGAAAATGGTCTCTTACACCTATCTCCTGCATTAGCTTCTGATATAATACACCTGACAGATCTACGTCGCACTGTCACTTAACATGCATGAACTCACTCATCTTGACCCACGACGAGGAAAGCTAATGTTTTAGCGTCCAGGAAACAGCAGAGAACGCTATGGTTAGTAGAAGCTAACCGTTAGCATTAGCAACATCACCACACAGCAGAACTTCTTCAAACTTGTGTTGTTGTGTTGTGTTGGAGAGATAAAACATCCATGTTGCAAGGCAGTGGTAGAGTCGCGTTGCCGTTTTCCAATCCGGGGACGAGATGTCAAATCTTCAGGAAATAAGACTCGAGTTGGCAAACTGCTGCTGAATACCCCCCCCCCCCCCCCCCCCCCCCCCCAATCATCCCTACTAGAGACCAATCCAAATGTATTGATCAAACAAGTGTTCCACACCCTTAATTTCAAAGTTGGTATTTCCCTACAAAAACAAAATAGATGTTATTCATTTTCTAATGGCAGGCATTCACCAGGAGCTCCAAAGAGAAGTTAAGCCCAGTTTATACCCCATCTGCAGGTGTACAGAGACACGGAACGCAAGTGCAATGTTGTTCTGGAGGGGTATTACTTTGCAAAAGTCTGGGAGGAAGACGTCTCTGTCAATGCATGTGCACATGTCCTTAAATTCTTCTGAGCATCATCATTTATTTCTTCCTAAATCTAATAGTTTGTAATGTGTTTGAACCATAAACTGTCATCGTTATGAGTAGAAACGGGGTTTAATTACCCCAGATCACATCAGTTGACCTCTAGTCCTGAAAACCTGCAGGTCGTCTCTGATCTCTAAGCAGTTTTCTGCTGTAATGTTTGAAAAATCAAACTGTTAAAACAAAATGAGACATTGAGTCATTAATGCTGGCGGAGAGGAGAAATGATCGAGTTACAGAGCCAGCACTAAGAGTTTTCCTACTCCGTGGAATTCTGCAGAAACAACATTAACGGGAAACTGCTCACCTGAAACTCAAAAGAGGTCAAACGGTTTACACATTTACAAAGTTATTTTTGGCTAAAACACCTAAGTTAGAAATGCACAGATTTCCACAGCAGGTTTTTAATCTCAGGAAGTTAGCCATGTCAGGATACGTGCTTGCTAGCTGGTAGAGAAAAGCTCTGTGAGCACATTCATCAACCAAAAATAAAAAATAACTAATTATTGCTGTGAAGCCGTTTTATTTTTCCCCCCTACAGCTCCATTCATCCCGCCTGTTCATGTTGACATTAGCGTTCGCATTCCTGCCCAATTTGCATTACAAAGTAGTGCCTTGCTCTGAGGCTGGTTAATAGTTGATGATCTAACAGGGAAATGTGACGTTTCGACCTCATGAAGAATTAAAAAAATGCATCTAAGATACGAGAAGTCTAGAAAAAAACTGTAGTTTTACTGCAATAATATGTTTATTGAGAATTTTCTGATAAAAGAAGGTGTTTTGAGGGAAGTAACTGCTGAATAATAAAAAAAATTACTTGAATGATGCAATTTTACAGTTTTAATTTGCAACAGAACCAGAGCTCTAGCTAAAGCAATCACAGTAAATCACCAAGTAAGCCACCATCACTGGATCTTGATTTTCAAGATAAACGAGACACGAACAAAAAATGATCCGTTCTTCAGAGAGGGCATTTATGTGAATCTCTTTCCCATTAATAAATTATATGCACATAATCAATCTACATGTTTCTGTTACGCTTCATCTCAGAAGCCGACCTCATCAGAGTCCTCGGAGCAGCGATAAAGAAACCTCCAGATTGTTTATTGATTTATGTGAAGAATTTGGCGCTCGGCTGGACTTTTTTTTTCTTCCTTAAGTAGAACTGAACATCCTGTGTCTCCATCTATTATTTACATCATTCTACCCCTTCCCACCCAAAAAATAAATAAATAAAAACTTTATTTACTCGTTCTCAAGCATCTCATAGCCAGCAGGGTTTTGAGCTGGAGTTTCACATACTTTAGCGCTGTGTCACACAGGGAAAAACAAAGAAACAAAAAAAGCAGCAGCTTTAATGATGAAGCCGACATGAAATAAAAAGACAAAAGTGTGCGACTTCAACAGGCAGCTGAGGAAAAGAGGAAGTAGTTAGATATTAACCTGTGGTGACATTTACATTATGAACTGAACTTAAGTAAATAAACCTCACACGTCCAACGAGGCTGTGTGTGTGTGTGTGTGTGTGTGTGTGTGTGTGTGTGTGTGTGTGTGTGTGTGTGTGTGTGTGTGTGAGTGAAACTGTATCTTATAAGAGAACTTTCATCAGACGTGATGCCGCACACAGGGTCTCTACCGGCTACGAAGTATGACTGACAGGTGATCGGCCAGTTTGATCGGCTCTGCATGGTGTTGATCGGAATTTGTGTAGCACGTGTTTTTCTCGGAAATCTGTCAGTTTTGATCGGTAGCCGATCAGTTGGAAGATCCCTAGTTTAGATGTTTAGCTAATGAAGGCTACTGATGTCATGGAACATGATATCTGTGTGCAGCAGGCCTCTTTCCCTCATTTGTTTCGCTTGCTAAACAAATCCATATACGTCCAATTTAATACTTTGATTTCAGGCGTAGCACGCCGTTTTACTGATGTAGACACGTTTTTATTTCTATAAGTTACAAATGTTCTCCATTTCCAATTTAAAAGTGCACAACCTGCATTGAGTCACATGTTAATATTTGTCCTTCAGGTCCACATTCTAGACGATTCTACACACATCTGCATGAAACGTGGCAGACTAGAGTAAAAAATACAGAAACAACTCATTAAATGAGTGAAGCTTCAACCAGCAGAACCAATCCAAATGTTCTGTTTGTTTGCTCTTTGTTGAAGGTTATGAGAAGCTGCTTACTGCAGAGCTGTGTGTGTGTCTGTGTTTCATTTAAAGAGGATGTGTACAAGAAATATGGCCTCAAACCCCGGCGGGGATTTATAAACACAATTACTACGCTTCATCTGCGAGAGGCCGATCTGATATCAAATAAAGCGGTGGAGATGAGGGAGATGCTCGGGGTCAGCAGTTATCACCGCGGCAAAATAAGAGTGTTGCAATAAGAGAGGAGAGAGCGATTGCAAAGTGCATAAGGGAAAAGAAAAAGGTGTGCTGATAAAGTTTAATACATTGATAGCTTATTAAAGAGTATGTTTTAAATTAAAAATGGAAAAGAACCAGTTGTGAATGCAGGTGTTTGATAGGAAGAAATCTGTAACTGTAATATAATATTAATGGGGAGGAGGAACAAATATATATATATATATTTTCAAACCGTATTTTTAAAAAGGTGGTGAGGCTGCATCATTACAAGACGTAATAGAGGTCCAGACGCTCTAAAAATTAGAAAGTCGGTTTGCTTCTTTTTGCTGAAGTAAACAAAGATTATTTCAGCGATTGGGCTGTTCACGCTGAAATATACAAAAGTCAAAATGCAGGATAGTTCCAAACAAAAACATTATTCTAAGAATTCAACATTTGCTGATAGAAAAAGTTTTATTATCTCAGCATCATTAATACTCACCCATCTGTCTGAACTCCTGATTGGCCAGCTGCAGCCAAGCAACATCCAGGTCATCCAGGTCGTAGCAGCTGTAGAGTTGAGAGCGAGGTGGAGGAAGAGGCGCGTCTCCATCCTTCACCTGCCTGCTGTTGGACAGAACACCTGTCGACTCCGGCGGCAACCTGAAACAGAAACACGGTTCTACATGAGTCCTGGAAACAGGATCAGGATCTACAGACCATGAGAAAACTTTAAACAGAACAAAAACTGTTTAAAAGCTTCTAACAGTTAATTATTCATTCCTGAAGCATTTTTTCCTGTTCCTGTTGATTAAAATCTGTGTTCAAAATAATATAAAAAAAAGCACTTTTCTCCAACTTTAATTAAAATAACACCTAATACGAAAAGGAGAACTCAGTTTTCACCCTTCCTGTTTCAAATCTTCCAATGATTTTTTAAAATGTCCTTTCCTCCCTTTTTTCCCCACTTATTTCCATTCTATCCAACCTTCCCTTTATAACTTTATTTTCTCCAGATTTCTCTTTTGCATTGATTTCCTTTCCTTTTTATTTTAATGTTGTTTAATTTTTCTCCTTGCTTTCCCTTTACTCAAACTCTGGTATTTTGTTTGCTTCCTTTCCTTCTTTCTCTGGTCCATTTTTCCTCTAGCTCCATTCCCTTCCTTTACCTTCTTCCCCTTTTGTAATTTGGATTCCTTCCTTGCTTCCTTTTCTGCTATTTGGCTTCCTTACTTCCTTTCCCTTCTAACTTTTGGCTTCCTTACTTCCTTTCCTTTCTGCTATTTGGCTTCCTTACTTCCTTTCCCTTCTAACTTTTGGCTTCCTTACTTCCTTTCCTTTCTGCTATTTGGCTTCCTTACTTCCTTTCCCTTCTAACTTTTGGCTTCCTTACTTCCTTTCCTTTCTGCTATTTGGCTTCCTTACTTCCTTTCGTTTCTACCTGTTGGCTTCCTTACTTCCCTTTTTGCCATTTGCCTTCCTTCCTTCCTTCTTTTCCCTTTCATTTCCTTTTTGCTATTTGGCTTCCTTACTTCTTTCCTTTGTTGCTACTTAACTTCCTTCCGTTTGATTCCTCTTCCCTCCTAGAGTCATATAATCTTCTCCATCCTTTATTGGTATACTTTCCTTTCTGCTTGTTTCCTTTCCTTGGTTCTGTCCTTCCCATCCACCTTTTTGAAAGGATATAATTGTCTGAATTTAATCCTACTAAGCTACTCACAAAAACCTCTAAATGCTCTTTAACCTTCTCTGCTTCGGGCAGAAATAATTAGGACCTTCTCATGTCGGTCTCTTTTTTCATACTTGTCACCATTCAGAAAGCTTAAATCAGAGTTTGATGGATAAAAAAGTCAAAACAAACAAACAAAACTCAAGTGGTGGTGGGACGTGGAAACAGGAAGCTCCTCCAGCCAGTGTCTAGTGTCTGTAGCCTCAGGCCCAAATGTTTGTGTCCACAACAGCAGGAAATGAGGTCAGAAACTCTGCTCAGCTGGGAACCATTATAGATCCTCATATATGCACTTAAACTAACCTTCATGACATACAGGGACAATGGAGAAAATACACCAACACCACACCCAAAGTTTGTTGAAACATCCCAGGTCCACACACGAAACACGGCCCTGTTACTCACACAACCGCCCGGTAAAGCCATGACCTTTGTTTGAAAAGGTGAAATGCGTCAGCGATCTCAACCACAGTAAAACAGCCTCCAGCTCTCCCATTTAGATCCCGTCATAAACGGCTCATTATTATCGCTGCCGTCACCCGTCACCCCCCCCCCCCCCCTTACACCCCCCCCCCCCCCCCCACCCCATCGGGCGGCTGAGCGATCATCTTCATCCTCATCATCAGATCTACTGCTGCCATCAGCAGGAGAAAGAATAAACACTACAGCTTCACTAAATCTTTACAGGAACGGCAAAGGAAGTTCAAAATCTCTCAGAATGAAAATATGATTTATATTTGAACACAAGTCCAGTCCTCGCAGGGATTATTGCATTTCCAGTTTAAATCGATGCCACTGTCCCATAATTGTCCATCAGTGATCAAAAACATCTCGACTGCAGACACTTAATCTAATAAAAAACTGCTCAGATCTGATCCTTTTTTGTCTGCAAATGGCCAATTTTGACCAGAGCTACAGAATCAATGTGCTAATGTGTAACGATTAATGAATCTGAGACTCGGGCGTATTTATGCAAGGACAAAGAGGCAGAAAATTGAAGGCTATTCTGGCGTTTTATCCGGCTGACATCTGATAGGTGAAGAACAGGCCGGGCCAGTCAAGTGGTAACAGGAGGAGAGAAAATAGACCTTTATCCATTAAGAGAGAGCGGGATTCCTACTGGGGAGCCGTTACACAACCTTAAAAGCAACAAGTGTTGTATTACATGACTGTGTTGTGGTGCTGCATTATTAACAGATAACGCTGGAGTCGCCCTGAAGGTTTTACCTTTCATAACAAGTCTAAAAAGTGACTTGTTTGAATCCAAATAAATTCCTTGGCCATTTTGGACTACGTTTTTGTTCAATATTTAAACAATATAAATATTCTATTGCAGACAGCCTCCCGAACAGCCTATGTTCAGAGAAACAGCTCATCCCTCTTCTAAGGGCTAGACTGAATTTAGCCAAGACCATGTCTGACTTAGGTCATAAAATAGCTCCTCAGAATCACAGCAGTACATGCAAACATGGCTTTTTAACAAAAATCTCACTGCTGCTAGTATTTCTGCTTGTGGATAATATAAATTTTAATGATGCTCTGATACTGGTTTTGAGGGCTGACAATGATTTCCAAGTCTGGCCCACCAGACCAATGTTGATCAATTTCAACTTATCTAAAAAATTTAAAATAAGAGTACTTTTCTTTGTTTTGTTTTTTAAATTCTTACTACCCTATAAATTATGATTCTTGATCGGTTACTTCCAGCATAAACTTGCACTTGTGCTGGAGACTGGCCGATTTTAATTAATCACCAGCAACAAATTAAAACGTACAATATGTAAAAGTACATAAATTACACAAGTAAATGCAAATACTAACCTAGCAAGCCATTCTATACACCCACAGACAGAGCTAAGTTGTATGGTAGAATCTACGGTCATCTTTCAAACTGTCACTGAGTGCAACTGGACAGCGTTGGGACCAATCAAAGCAATGAAAAATGAGATGTATTCATCGGTACGGAAATCAGTCAGTGGGGCAGTCCGCCATACACTGTTACATACTCAAATGCATCCGTTCTCAAAATGAGGGAATTAAGTACCTCCATCTGATCATGTCTCAAATAAATGCCCAAGTCTAAAAATACCCAAAGATGATACCAAAGCCAATGAGCGCCGTTCCTGAGCTGGCGCCATCTTTGTAGTTTTTTCTCAATACAGCACTGGTGCTAAGCCTGTCCAATAAACATAACATACTGTGACTGGTCAGACATAAAACTGCTCAGGCCAGTAGCAGACCTACTGATGCTACAATGGAGTGTGGCTAGACCTACCTGCAGAGCAAAACCTGCTACGATTGGTCTAGATTTCTATGCTAGCAAAATACAAAATAGTTATTTTTTTACTTCTGTAAACAAATCGGTTTAACAGCATACTGCTGTTTATAAAAACAAATACGAAAAAATGTCAGGAGGAGGACAGGAGAAGCAAACTACAGGATTCAATCCAATTTTGCACTTAACCATCAAGGTTTTCCCCACATGGTCACGAAACCCTTGCCAAAGTTTTCTTCACATTGATCACACTTTCTAAGTTTGAAACAAATTCCTGGTTTTTGGAGAGGAAATGCATCATAGCCATTTTATTTAAACGTTCATAATTCAAACGACACAAGAGCGAGACCCTGAGACTCAAGCACTAAAAGAATAAAAAGGTATAAACAAAACATAAATTCTGATATAAAAAAGACAGGCTTATATTGTTGATCCACCCTATCAAACAGGAAGTGAGTCAGTGGTGTCAAGTACAATGTGTTCCTCCACAGATAAGTATCGAGCCTACAGTCACATGTACAACATTCACCGACACTCGGCGAGTTACATAATGAAGGTAAACAAAAGCATGTGCATAAAGTCTCCCATTGTCCAGTTTAATCATAATAACACAGGTGGAGATAAAACTAGGACTCATCCGTCAATACTGCAGACAATTATAGCCTTCTGCAAGGCTGGGAATATACTTTCTGTCTTTTTGTGGCAAAATGGAGAAATGCATTTGAGAATAATCTATTTTCACAACTGCATGGGAGGATTTAGTTTCAGAAAACAGAGAACATGAAGACAATTTCAGAAGTTGTGTTTCAGCTGAAAATGTTGTTTTGTGTTCACTGAAGTGAAGCTAGTTTATTTAGATTAATTTCTAAAATGAAAAAAAAATCTTGTTTTTTCTTGCATTTTTAAATCTGTTAGCGTCTATTGTTTGATACTTTTAAAACATATAAAATGATCAGAGGTAGGGTTTATGATCATGTTAAAGCCTGAAACAGATGAGCAATAAAATCAAAGCAAAAGAAATTACTTTTTAAATGATTTCATGGTAAGAATGTTACTTATTCCAAAAATTTGACTTAAAAATTCCTGTTAGTTGTAAAAATAACAACAGAAATATTTTGTGTTTACCTTTAGGAGGACCAAATGAAAGACGAGGCAGCCGAACGAGGGTGTTTTAAAGATCCTCCTTGGGGTCGTAACAATAGGACAGCTTTGATCTTTATGGTGTGTGTCATGAAATATTCAGGAGGAAGTACACAACGTGAGGCTCTCATTCCAGAAACAATCAAAACCAAACATGGCACCTCCTAGGTCTGTCTTTGGCTACAGGTTTCACTGGCAGGGATGTTTGTGAAGAGTCTCAGGAGAGAAGAGAGGAGTGGGAGTTTAAAAGTATACACCAAATCAGCCATAGCATTATGACCAGACTGCTCATCTCAGATCTAAGGTCATAACATTATGACTTATTAGTGTAGATGTAGGGAATGTTCATGCACTCCCTTTAATGTGTATTTTTTCTTTGAAATATCAGCCAAACCCAATGTAAGTTGAATATTTTTCTAATAGCCTTTTTCCATACAACATAGTTTTTCCAAGCTTGTTGTTTTGTTTGTTTGTTTTCCTCATAAAAAACAACATTGTTTCTAGAAATAACTTCATTCA